GCAGCTTCATTAATATGGATGGTGTCACTGATGATGATGAATATGACGTCATTAATGATGATGATGAACATGACGTCATTATTGATGATGATAGCGCTGAAGTTATTGTGAAGGTAGGAGATGATGATAGTGATAAAGGTGTTGATGATGATGATGATGATGCTGTTGTTGTTGGTAGTAGTTTTAATGATGACGTAATAGATGCCGATGGTGTTGAAATGTTTGTTTTGGACGTGAAGCCATTTGTAAACTTCGATGACGATGACGAAGATGTTGTTGTTGTTGACGATGATGATAATGATGTTGTTATCGTTAATAATGTTGTTGTCGTTGTTGATGATGATGATGTTGTTGATGATGATGATGTTGTTGATGATGATGTGGTTGATGATGATGTTGTTGTTGATGATGATGATGATGTTGTTGTTGATGATGATGATGTTGTTGTTGATGATGATGTTGACGACGTTGTCGTTGATGATGATGATGATGATGATAAAATTGATGACGCGAATGTAGACAAAGAGGGAAAAGGAGAATTTGAAAATGTTGAGAAATACGACGATTGTGAAGATGACGATGACGATGATGGCCGAATTTGTGATGACGTTGCTGATGATGACGTTGTTGTTGTTGTTGTTGTTGCAGTACACAAACTAGCGCTTCCGCTCGTCACCGAGGACGTCAGAACAAATCTTCTACTCGGCGTTGAAGACATATTTGAAAAATAACCCTGTTGACAGCTTAAGCTGCTGTTTTTTAACAATGTCGTTTTTGTTGAATCAGACTTATACACTGTCACTGTCTGTTGCTTAGACGGCTGCTGCGGTTGCTTAGACGGTTGCTGTGGCAGCTTAGACGATTGTTGTGGTGTCTCTAGTTGTTGTGAAGCCATGTTTTTGTTGCTGCTATCGCCGCTGTTGCTGCTGCTGTTGCTGCTAGCGGCCGGGTAGATCTTGTTGAACACACTACTCATGTTTTTTGTTTGATTGTGTTGACAACTGTGTTGCTGTTTGAAATAGAACTATTGTTGTTGTTGTATTGACGTTGTTGTTGTTGTTGATGATGATGATAATGATGATGATGAGGTTTTTGTTGTTTTTTTGTTGTTGGCAATGGTTTTAATGTTGTTGTTGTTGTTGTAGTTTATGATGATTATAACGATGATGAAAGCGGTAAGGATGAAGATGATAATTTTTTTGCTAGAGGATTTGTTGTTTGCTGAGTGTAACAGACGTCGCCAGATGTTATTCCAGTGGCTAAGTGCTATCTCAGTGAGGATAGCTTTAATTTGTGTTTCCACTGAGATAAATTATCGGCGCTTTGTTTGAAATCTCGAAATATAAATATAGGGGACAGGTTTGGCTTTTGATGCTTCTGAAAAATGTTGAAACGAGGGATGAATAAAATAGGTAAAAAAATAAAATGAAAAATGATATATATACATATAATTTTTTTTTCTTTAAAATTTGTTTGAGTTGATTCTTTTTAAAACATAAAAAAATTCTCAGAAAGAAATGACGGCCAAGATTCTGACAACTGCTCAGTTTAAATATTTCGAGTTTTTTCTCATTAAAAAAAACTTTCTTTGTTTTTTTTTCTTAAACATTTATTTGAACTTGAAGACAGTTTTGATATGATT